CATTCCCCTTTAGAACACTACACACGTGTATACACACCCCCAACTAAATGCTGTAAACACTGGAATGTGATATTCAGTAGGTCCAAAAATGAAAGTCAGTTCGATTATCTAACAAAAAGTTTATTTCCACCTCTGCCAATAACTCAGCCTAAGCAAATGAGAGAACAAAACATACCCAGCCATCAGAGTCACCTGCTGTGAGGTGGTGGCAATGGTGGTTGCAATAATGGATTATAGGTCTCAGACAAAATGAGAAAAAAAAAATCAAGAGCCCATCGCACACCTACTGTGTCAGAGCTGGTTTGATTACCTAGCTACTGACTGAGCAAAATTAAAAAACGACATGCTATATAATATACACTATAGTCCAAAAGAGGTGGGGTACAGGAATGGCATGCAAATGACCAAAAAATAAAATAAAGCTCAACCTGGAATAAAACAGTTCAAAGAGCAGAAAGAAAACCTTCACTTACATTAGGTCTATACCCTCTAGAAAACATATACACAATAATTACATGTTTTATATTAGAAATTAATGCCCAGGATATGTACACAACAAAACAAGTACTCAAAAACAAGCTAAACAAAATAATAGGATGAGAAGAGGATTGTAGACATGAGGAAACAAAATACGTACTAAAATTTCTAGAGATAACTAATAAGAACGTAGAGCTAGCAAAGTACAGAAGTGATATCGCTGAAAGCCAAAGTAGAGGTAGATTTGTGACATCTTGATGAATTCAGCTTAAAGAGATGAATGCACTAGATGAAGTTGAGCTATAGAACATAAATTGAATGCAATTAGATGAGGTTACATTATAGCACATCAATGACACAGTATTAGGATAATTGATATTGGTCCCTGAAGTCAAGAACTCATCAAATCAAGGAGTTGATACACAAATAAAATATAAGAAAACTTTTCTAAAATGAAGACAGGATTGAATCTGTTGATCTAAAGTTTCCATAGTCTAGAAAAAGTTGATACAGAAAACTCAGAACCAAGACATAACTGAATTAAGCAGTTGAATGCCAAATAAGGAGAAGAAATATTTTACTTTTTTGCCTAAACAAGCAACAAAGAGGTGGGACATGGGTGGAGAAGAAAAAGAAGATGCTTTGACTTCCCCACAAAAGACAACAGAGCATACTGATTCCAGGATTTTTTTTATTTGCTGTTAGTGTGTGCCGTTTTCAAGGAGAGAGCCAGCCCAGAACAGAAAAGGCAGCACCACGAGGCATTTCTAGTAAATGCCCTCAAGGGACTTCTTTTCTCCTCTCCCTTCCTACCTCTTCCCCCTTGACTTCAGAACTGTATTGCATAATCTCTCCCGTGAGTTAGGCCTCCAACAATAAAACTAGGAAAAGGCTCACTGCAACCTCCACCTCCCGGGTTCAAGCAATTCCCCTGCCTCAGCCTCCTGAGTAGCTGGAAGGAGAGTAAAGTAGCATTTGCTAAAGCCCATGTAGCAAGGAAATACTAAGGAAGTGTTTCCAACTTGAATTGGGGAAAACAAAATGAAACTGAAAACTAATTCAAAAAAGTCAATTACTTGACTTGAAGACAGCTGAATGTCTTGGATTGTCAGAATCAAGGAATCCCCACATGGAATTTGAACCAATCAAAGTGCAATTAGCAGGGGAAAATGTTGAGAGAGATGTTAGTCAATAAAATATCTGTCTCAGCATACTGTCACGAGAATAAGGGGTAGGAGGTTGAACCCTGGATGGTAAAATATTCACAGGTTCCAGTAATTATGGTTTCCAGGTATTATGCTATTTCAGACCTGTTATCGAATGACTAACCCTCCTACTACAACAAAACAGAAAATGAAATCAGATATTTTCTCTTTCAAACTCATTTATATACCATGTTAAAGTCAGACTGTTTAATCTTCATGTTAATATTTATTTCCCTACTACAAAAATCAGATCTATGTAACTCACAAGTGTAACTTCTTGTATGCATTAGATGGTGAATATAAATAGCAACACAGAAATCAAATCTAGATTGTTACTTGTCTTATTTCCTAAACTATAGCACATCTCAACTTTCTTATAAAATGAGAATACCAACCCAATACCTCAGCTCAGTTATGTGGATTACCTTTTATATTGTACAGGCAGCACACAAACCACTGAGCTCATAGGCAATAGTTGGTAAATACGAGTCACTCAGATGAAACCAACTTAGAAGCAGGCGAGAAACAATAGAAGAGTCAAGGTAGCGAGCAGGAAGAAGTGAAAACTAAAATGTGCTGCTTGGTTCCGAGAAGAAAGGAGGAGGCAAGATAACCTTGAGGCTGCTTGAGTTGAGGGAGAAAGGAGTAGAATCCTTATGAGAAAAGATTACAAGAATATGCCAAACAGATTGAAACTACCGTGGGCCACCGTCAAATTCCAAAAGGGAAAGAGAAACAAGGTAGTCTCTCAAATTAGCCTAGGGAAGAAAACAGGAATATAAGAGACAAGGACAATTGAAATAATTGGGGGCAGGGGAGGAAAATTGTGGCAGTGAAAAAAATAAGGGGTAAGAATTGAATAGGAGTTACCTTAACAAAAAAGACTGCAAGAAGATAATTCTAGAAGAAAGCAAATGCCTCAAAAACAACAAATGTGTTTGGAATCCTCAGAAAAGTAAATAAAAGCGGGAAAATAGAACCTATACATACTTAGTATTCAGTCATCTGTTTCTGCAGTCATGTCTCTGAAATTCACAGGGAAGACAAAAGAACAGTAAAAAGAAGAGGTAAAAAGCTTTTCAAAGACAGCTTGCAGAACTATGTCAGAGCATGCAACACTAAAAGCACAAGAATGAACAAGAATTAGAAATGTAATCTACAAAGCACACTTAGGATATAATGTTGTTTTGCATATAAAATAAAAAGCTAAATTCAATGGGGAAAATTGGTTTGGAGGGCCTCGGTCTCCTCACACTCAAATTTTAAGGAGACTAACTCCAAGATCAGAAGACATAAATTAGAAGAGATATTTGTGCATGTATAATTCCTTCCTTTCCAGTGTGAAAGGAAATTCTCTCATTTCATTGTACTGCTATGAAATATTTCAGCTGTGTTAGAAGCTAAACGTAAATATTTGATGTCATTAGTCATTTTTGATTACTCTCAATTCCAAGATTAAAGCACATTTAGATAAATATGACAGCATTATTAAAATAAAGTGTTTGGGAATTTAGATTTCTGTTACAAGCAATAAGAGCAATATCCTAGAACAAAGGAAATCTTCTGAGAAACATAACTGAGGCTTCTGGGAGCCTCTGGCCAGGTCTACCCAGGACATACATCACCAAGCCTCACGTCTCTGCTTTGCCTCCTGCGGGTTTACCTTATACACAACCTCGCTTCCCTCGTGGTAACGAAGTGGCTGTAGATGTTTCAGGCCTGACATCACACACCACTAAACTCAGATGAAAAGAACTGGAGCTTCACCAGCATTTCTTGTTAAGGAGAGAAGCTTATTTCCTGGAAGCCCCAGCAAACCATGTTTTTCCTATTATTGACTCACCTGGTTTATATTCCTAACCTACCTATCACTCTGGCTTTCCCTACCACTAATTGGTTTCTTCTAAGAGCACTATTTTAATAAATCACTTACACCTGAGTCTTTGACTCATCAACTCCTTGTGGTGAAATCCTTTCTATGAAACAAAGGCATGCAGTGAAACACCGTGGCAGGTTGTCCTTGAATTCCCTGGGCTGTTTCTTCCCACCCTGCCTCCTGTCTCTGCAAAAGCTGGTACTTCATGCTGTGAACAGGACGCTTGCTTACACATCTTCTCACACTTGCTTACTCATCTTCTCACACAACTGTCTCTCCCAGGTTCTGTGATGCTTCCCCTCGACCCACCCAGCCTTCCCCTTCTATTGGTCCTTTCAAACCTCTTCCCTGTGGACTCTGAAAACGTCATTACCCAATAAACTGCCCGTTACCCACAGCCTGCTCAGATTCCTGCTGCTTTCCCGCCGCAGTGGGAATTCAATTCCCCCAAAGAACCATTTCCCCATCTCCTTTTTCTTAAGAAGAGTTGCTCATTTTACCATCTTCTCGCCACACTGGAATCTGAAAATAAAGCTGGCAATCTCTTCATCCAACTGTGCTCTTTCCAAGCCATTGCTTCTGTATCTTTAGGGATTCTGTATCTCACTGTGAGAATCGAAGTTTATTCTAAAGTGACCCTTGCTCCTACACGAAAGGGTACCTAGGGAGTGTCAATGGTATTTAAGCTGGATGGGGCATATATGGTTGGGTTAGAGTATTATTTGTACCTTTATGGGTCTGAAATATTTAAGAAATGCTTATCACTTGGGTCATCTGAGCTTTTCTATGCCCCTTCCTCCTCTCTTATCTACTAAATTCTTACCAGCAAATCTAAAACTCTAGGAAGAAAAAGTCAAGAACTCCAAAACTAGTTACTTCTACTCCACTCAGTCTAGCATTTCCATGGATTCCTGCACTTATCACCCAGAACTTTCTGTTCCACCGCTGAACTTGCAAACTCAGAACATACTATCCCGATGGAATTCTTCATAATCTGACTACTCCTCTCCTTTCTCTCCTCCCACCACACTAACAAGATTTCTAAGCTCTGACCCCACCAATTTCACCCTTTTCACTTATTATCTATAGTAAATATGTAGTATATTTATATAACATATTTATATATTTATGCATTATAATAGTTATATGATTTTATATATATATTTTTTTTTTCTGGGTCTTTTACAAAAGTGACTTAACTTTCTGAGCCTTTTTTAAAAAATTAAGTTTATTTTCCTTGTTGCCAAGTTGATATAACTACAGAGCTACTAGCTTTGCATGAATGTAATTAGATTAGGAATATAATTTATCAATTTGTAAATAGATATATTATCAAAGTCAGTCATAGTAACATTAATTTTGTGTAACTGACAGGACATTCTAGTGATTGCAGTTAAGGAATATAGAGTATGGGACAGAAAGAAAAGGCAAAAGCTTTTTACCTTCAGAAGGTGTTCTCGGTGATGCCTCTAATCTAGGTTAAATTAGATAGAAAGGATCTCATTTTTCAAAGGTGGTGTCTAGGACAGACCTGGATAGCCCTGGAGAAGACATCCCACCTGAAACAGAAGTATTAAAGCAAGGAAGCTACAAATGTACATTTGCCTGTCTCTGATTTGTATCTTAATCTCTTATCACTTGGGAATTAGTGGTTTGAACTCTAAATGGTAAGGAGCAATGTGTAATGTCAGAGTGTAATATTCCAAGATCAAGGACTAAGGAAAAACAAGCCCCCATTCCTTACTCAATTTTAAAATGAGCCTCTAAGGGGACATTTAACAGTTTTTACAGAGAGAAAAAAATTCTGAATCTGCAGTTATAAGAAGCTGCACCTGCTAACTGCATTTTAGTCTCCAACAGAAAAAGATGCAATACAGTACATTATCTCCGAGACCTGCTGGAAATGAATATCCAGAGAAAAGCGAGCTTCTAAGGGTGAAGCCTATGCTGAAGAAAGAGAAATATGCATTTTACTGAAGATGATGCAGTAAAAGAGGCCTGCAAATACATACTGGGAACTTTAGTTGGGGATAAATTAGAAGGATCTTAAACACATAAACACCACAATTGAATATCAAGGAAAGGTGTGTACATTTTATAAAGATAGTATTGTGTTAGAAAGGAGAACCTAAAGTTATAGTAAGCCAGAATAGCAGGATTTTTCTGGTGGCATATGTTTATAGCCCCAATTAAATGGAATGAACTTGGATCCTCATTTTCTTTTCTATGAGAGTCAGGTCAGAGTCCTAGGGAGGGAATACCTAGTAGCTAGTCTCATCTGACAGAAGAATAGGGAGGAAGGAATTTGTCTTGAGTAGGCAATTGCTCTTCCCAGAAATTAAGTCAGGAAGCAACTGACTCTCAGAGAGTTCCTGGGTGGCTGCTATGTAGACGCTTGGAAAAGGGGTATTCATTCCTACTAGGCAGGGGAAAAGTTTGCGTGCCTGCAGTCAGAAGTCAGTTAGACATTCAAAGCCTCAAAGAGGATGCTGGTTATGTAACTCAGAACAAACTCTCTACTCCTAGGCAAGCCTCTGGGAATTTAGAGTTGACATGACAACCTCAGGAGGAAAAACACTTTGTTTAGTGCCTTACTACGTGACCTATACCGGTTACTGACCAGAGCAAGAAGGAGCCACCCAGGATCACTGGTTAATGATCAAAATATTCAGGTATGGTCTATCTTAAGCACCTGGAGGAAAACTCTACACAGGAATTGATTTCTTTCTCAGCTCAGGCCAACTGATAGAACATGCTGGTGGGCCACACACCAAAAGTAGGCAAAGCCTTCATTCACAGATTTATTTAAGAGCCACCAAACTTTCAGGCTACTCAATATGATTATATAGGAAATTATTTGACTTTTACATCTATATTCTGAAATAATATTTATTAAACACTTTCTACATACCAGGCACTTTGCTGAAGACTTTGATAAATTTCATTTAATCTTCACAGCAATCCTAGTCTACCCCCATTTTACAGATTAGGAAACTGGCTCTGAGAAAAATATACAACTGGTTAAAATGATGAAGCAGGTAAACGCACCAAGGATTACTTGACTCTAGAGACTATGATCTTGACCACTACACGTTATTACATCTTTTGATTAAAATATGCTTATAAATGGGATACGACACCACTTTACCATTCTGGACAGAAATTATTTCCTCCAAGTTTCTAGGAAATAGGGAAGTTCAAGTTTGTTTTGTCAGGTACCAGTAATGCAAAAAACCCTAAATTACCTGTTCATACTTTTTTCTATTGTCCAAAGTCCCAAACAATAGCAACCCAGTGAGAATTGAATCTTAACTTTTTGACTCTTGCTTTAGGCATTGAAAATGACATAAACTTAATGATTCTCCCTTGAGACAGTGGAAATAACTAAGAGACTTCTAAGTTTCTTGTATTAGAATTCAAAGATCACAATTCTTCTGCTAGATAACCACTACTACGGTCCTTTTGTTTCCACCACAGAATGGAAAGCAGTGCATCTTGGAGCAGCTAATAAGCCTCTGTAGTGTAATTAGATGAACAATTACAAGTAAGAATATACCCTCAGAGATTTGTTTAAAGTTCTCAGATAATTTTCTAAACAAACATTGCTCATGCCTCCTTCACTGTCTTACCAGAATGTTAGGCATTTTCCTCATTTTTGTTAAGTTCTTTTATTTGAAATATATCAATATGTCCCTTCAAGACAACCTTTTACTAAGTATTTGTTTGTTCATATGCACAATACATAGTATATGCACTAAGTCAATTTAAAAGATCAGTCACTAATTTTTTCCTAACAGGAAAATAAAAACCACCCATATTTGATTTATTCATGCCCACTTTTAAGTTCTAGGTAAAAACAACTTAGAAAGAAATCCTTACCTTACTTAGAAATTCACACCATCTAGTCAAATGCTAAGTAGTCCATAAGAACAAACATTGAATTGAGCTATGAATTTCTCAGAGAGTAAAGTCTAAGGTACGTTTGATTAGTTACCTATGACAGACCAAGGAAATCACGTCATCACCAAGAACGCCCTCCTTCAAACTAAGCCCCACCCAGATCTGAGTCAGTACAGATGTGAAAAGTCCAGGAATTAAAAGATGCAGTTTCAGATACTATATTGAAACAGCTAAGCATCGAGCTGTAGGAGCAGTGGACTCCGGTTTCCATGCTATAGTGTCAGCTTCACCATCAACATGATGCAGGCAACCTCCTGAGTTGGGACTGCCTGTGACCTGTCTAGCTTGCTGCAGAGTTGTAAAGAAAGTTGTGTAACTGGTTGCAGTGGGTGCCGATAGTTCTGTGAGAAAGAACCACAACCCTACACAAAGTTCATCTGCACCTACAATTCCCATTACAGTTCTGGTCGCTGGAACACCCAAGCTTAAACTCAGCTTCAGAGAAACAAAGACCTCTCTGAATTCCACATGGAAGCTTAGGCGGTGCCCAGCCTCTATGCTGTCATATCACTTAATCTTGCTCTCCCTCAGTGTCACATGCATGTCACATGGCATGCATGCACATACAACAGATGCTAGGAGTCATGCTTTACTCACTGTTGTATCCCAAACAACTACCACTTACTTACTAGCACATAGTAGCTGGTCAGTATCTGTTGAGTGCATGGCAGCAAAAGTTACAAAGTGAACAAAAAAGTACCTTAGGAGCACAATAAACAGGACCCTTCTGTCCGGAACAAAGGATGCCATCCAAGCCTTGGCATAGCACACAAATCCCCTGATCATATAATCATAGAGCCCTGTCTAGCTTTAGAGCCTTTGGGCATTACTAACCACATCAACGTTAACCTCCTGCCACACATGGACACTCAGGGGAGAGGGCAAGGTACATTTGGGGAACTCTTTACCTCCTGTTTCCTTCATCTTCCCCATCTCTTCCTTGACTTCCTCCTTCTCCACTCAGAGTCATCCATAGTGAGCCTTCAGCTGCCCACTGGAAACTGGGTTGAAAGCCCCAGGGCTCTTCCTAGAATTCCCAAAGTCACCCATGCCAACTTTTATCATTAATAAGATCTCTTATGAAATGAAATCAAAATCAAACTGGGACTTAAAAGATGCAGGCAATCCCTGCTTTCACCTCTGAATCTCCACGGTCATGTAGTTAATGGTACATCACACCACTGTAATATTAGTTTAGGGAAATAGCAGAGCTCCTAAAGCGTACACATAGGGAGAGCAGACTCTCCTGGAATTTGAAAATAGAAGAATTACATATTTTTTGAAGATTTTTGAAGTTTTAGGAAGAAATGCCGTGTGCCTGCAAAGATGCTTGTTATGCAGAGATTGTTCAAATTGAAGGCAAAAATAGAATCATGGTTTTAAATAATATCAATGGCTGAGAAAGGAAAGAACAACTTCTCTGCAATTTATGTCACAGAGAAAGTGACTATAACGTGTATGCCATTGTTGAAGACTAGATCAACAGTTTTAGGTTACAAAGCCTTTCCCTTGCAACATATTCGTCATTTCAGGAAGGAGTACCTGAAAGGAAGTAGGATTCACCAGTAGGACCCTATATTAGGGGAACCTGTAGGGCCACTGCTTGCATTACTCACCACATCAACGTTAACCTCCTGCCACACATGGACACTCAGGGGAGAGGGCAAGGTACATTTGGGGAACTCTTCCCCTCCTCTTCCCCATCTCTTCCTTGATTTCCTTCTTCTTTACTCAGAGTCATCCATAGTGAGCCTTCTGCTGCCCACTGGAAACTGGGTTGAAAGCCCCAGGGCTCTCAGCTCAGCTGTTAGGCTTTGAGATGTGTTACTATTTCAAGACCACTTTTGGTTCTCCTCTGCAAAGTGCTTCCACGATGTCTTCAAGTGACTGGGAGAAGAAATGGCATATGGGATATTGTTAACGCTGATTATATCTATGCACATGTACCTGCACTAAGGCTCAGGGGAGAATTTAATATTGGGATTGAACATTTATTAAATTGGCAAATGTTCTGAGGAAATAAAAAGTATAACTGTCTTGTAACTTGAGGATGTGAGAGTAGCTACCGGTTGCATCCTCAGATCAAATAGGGCTGAAATTAGTAATCCAACTGGAGTCTTTCAACTGTCTAAATACTGCGGAAGAAAGTGAATTTAAACTTTAAAGCTGAGAGATGGATAGACATGGCTGAAATGTAGATCTTAAGTTAGTCTGACAGGGAGATTAGGAATTATGGTCCTCATATATTAGGCATTTACTGAATCAGTTCAATCAATATTTATTTCCAGCAAAAAAGTCTAATATTTCAGCTGTTAAAAAACTTCAGGCGTTAAACTCACATATTCATTTTCCAAGATGCTAAGTGTGGTGCCTGTCATCATTTGTGCATGTCATGCCTTCCTGGTTCATTGTTGTTGTGAAAGGAAATAAAGTAATTTAGGCCTAGGCATTAAAGTGGAATTGGAAGATCAAGAGAGGACTACACTCATACCTGCTAAATGTTAAGCCACAGAAGGTACCAACTGACCTTAAGTCAGAATCCACTAGCCTTCAACATCCCTCAGCTGGGAGTACCCTAATTAACTACCAATTCAGAACAGCTCTGCAATGTAGGATTTCTGTCCAGCCAATAAATAGCCCCCCAAAACAACTTTTTGAAGAAATCGCCTATTAAAAACCTGAGCTTACCTTGAAGGACACTATTTAGTGTTGCCCTAATTCAGTGTACCTGAATTGCAATTCTTTTTTTCTCAAATAAACTCTACTTTCTTTGGCATCTGTGTTGATTTTTTTCCCTAGTTAATATAACTACAGAATTGCCGTATTAGTGCAGGGGCTTCCTGAGGCCTTCTAGATGCTCTCTGTGACCTATTCTTAGTTCTCTGTTTTCCTGGTATTGCTTCATGTCCCAGGTCTACAATAGCATCAACCACTCTCAGTTTTGCAGTGAGTTAGCTTTTAAATTGCTTCAAAGTACTTTTACAACTCTCTTAATGATCATTCTGGGAAACAGCCAGGGTAAGTGATCCTCCTGCCTCATTTAGGATGAGGAAACAGGTACTAAGAGTGAACAAATGATACACCTAATGATTAAGTGTCAAAGTTGGGCATTACATTAAACACCTGCCATATCCCTCTCACATCCCTCAGCTCACCTTGTTTGTCCTGGACATTGTTGAGGCAACAGGCTCTACACAGGTGCCTTTACCAGCACTTCATCCCAGCTATACTATGCATCTGTCTTGCTTGTTATCCCAGGGATTCTCTGCTTTCTAGTGAGACTCCTAAAACAGAGAAAATACAAACCCTCCAGTGTTAATTTTAGCCTGTGGAGGTCAGGCTGCTCCCCTGTTTTTCTCTGGCTGACAATCCTGAAGGGTCTTCTATGTGGTTCCTTAAAGCATCCCCACCAAGACTAAGCTCCAGTTACCCATAGGCATAGCTAACTGAACAGCACACTCTTGTATTAGCTCTCCCTCCTTCCTGTTTTACTCTTCTCAAGTGCCCCTCCCCTGTTCCCTGGATTCACTTCCCAAAAAAAAGTACCTGCTTTTCTCTTGCAAATTTAAGTTCATTATAGATGGTGGATATTACACCTTTGTGAGATTCATAGTTAGAAAATGTTTTCTCCTATTCTGCAGGTTGTTTACTCTGTTGATAATCTCTTTTGCTGTACAGAAGCTCTTAAGTTTAATTAGATCCTGCTTGTCAATTTTTGCTTTTGTTGCAATTGTTTCTGGTGTGTTTGTCATGAAACCTTGCCCACTCCTATGGCAGGATGGCATTGCCTAGGTTGTCTTCCAAGGTTTTTATAGTTTTGGGTTTTACATTTAAGTCTTTAATCCATCTTAGTTGATTTTTGTATATAGTGTAAGGAAGGGGCCCAGTTTCAAGCTTCTGCATATGACTAGCCAGTTATCCTAGCACAATTTATTGAATGGGGAGTGTTTTCCCCATTGCTTCTTTTTGTCAGCTTTTTGAAGATCATAGATGTGTGGCCTTATTTCTGGGCTTTCTATTCTGCTCCACCTGTCTATGTTTTTGTACCAGTACCATGTTGTTTTGGTTACTGTAGCCTTGTAGTATAGTTTGAAGTCAGGTAATGTGATGCTTCCAGCTTTGTTCTTTACGCATAGGATTGCCTTGGGTATACAGGCTCTTTTGTGGTTCCATATGAATTTTAAAATAGTTTTTTCTAGTTCTCTGAAGAATGTCGCTGGTAGTTTGATAGAAGTAGCACTGAATCTGTAAATTGTTTTGGGAAGTATGACCATTTTAATGATATTGATTCTTTCTATCCATGAGCATGAGATGTTTTTCCGTTTGTGTCTTTGATGTCTTTGAGCAGTGTTTTGTAAGTCTCATTGTAGAGATCTTTCACTTCCCTGATTGGCTGTATTCTTGGATATTTTATTCTTTTTGTGGCAATTGCGAATAGGATTGCCTTCCTGATTTGGCTCTCAGCTTGGCTGTTGTTGGTGTATAGGAATGCTAGTGACTTTTGTACATTGATTTTGTATCTTGAAACTTTGCTGAAGTTGTTTATCAGCTGAAGGAGGTTTTGGACTGAGACAATGGAGCTTTCTAGATATAGAATAATGTCATCTGCAAACAGATAGTTTGACTTCCTCTTCTCCTATTTGGATGCCCTTTGTTTCTCTCTCTTGCCTAATTGCTCTGGCTAGGACTTCCAATACTATGTTGAATAGGAGCGGTGAGAGAGGGCATACTTGTCTGGTGCCAGTTTTTAAGAGGAATGCTTCCAGCCTTTCCCCATGCAGTATAATGTGGCTGTGGGTTTGTCATAAATGGCTCTTATTATTTTGAGATATTTTCCTTTAACACCTAGTTTATTGTGAGTTTTTAACATGAAGGGATGTGGGATGTTTAATTTTATGGAAAGCCTTTTATA